CAGTTGTGACAGACACATTGATTTTTAAAATTTAATTTTAACTACACTTTGAAAATTGGAAAATCACTGCACATCCCTAATTTATATCTTTATATACTTATTTGGATTTGCTTTGATTTCCAATAATGTCTACAGCCTTACTCCTTACACTAAACCTAACCCCTGACTCACAAATGTTTTTTTCCATTGTGTGGACTAGAAAAATGTCCACACAATCATAGTACAATGTCAAATTATGTCCACACACCAATACAAAGACATGCACACACACAAAACGCAAGCTTTACAAAAGTCATCAATTRGAACTGGCCCTGAAAACTGCAATCAGAGCCGGCTCTTGGCATAGGCGAACTAGGCGGTCACCTAGAGCGCCATCTGCTGGAGGGGGCGCAGAACTGCAGAAGTAAAAAAGTTATTATTTGTAATCCCTGGTTGTAACTCTGTTCAGCGCCCATTTCAATTAGCTTTGTCTTAAAAAAACAATAATGAAGTATTACAGGAAAAATAAACTATTCTACCCATAAAACATTCCCCCCGACCCAATGCAGCAATCGCCCCCACACTCTCTCATTTGATTGATGTTGCACTGACTCATCCTGCTCCGACACTCTGATGGGGGAGGGACTAGTAGTGCCTCTCAGGTAGCGGTTTGTGTTGACAAACTCAAACACAACAAGTCTATTTTGTCAGCCGAGGACCTTRTGATGTAAAATCAGACTTATAATTTCCAAAAAGAAAGGACCTTCTAAATCTTTGCACAAATTGTGAACAGGGTCTTTTGCTTACCCTTGTCATTTGATTYAATTATAGATGCTTTATTTATTCATAAAATTTGTTGTGTGATGTATGTTTGTGTTTAAWGCAAATAAATCTAAGTTTACCATAGTACCTTACACCAGTGTTTCCCAAAGTTGGGGTCGGGACCCAAAGTGGGGTCCCSAAACATCAAGTTGGGGTCCTTAAAAGATTTTCTGAATTAATTACATTTTTGCCTTAGTTGTTACAAAGGTGTGAGGTTAGTATATTTAAAAATGGATAAATGTAGTATAAAAAATTTACTATGCCCATGTTTAGTTGACCTGATGCAAATGTTTATCATCCAAAAATAGTTGGGCACAGGTCTCTGCTACTGTTATTTTGTGGGTCAAAAGCTGAAAAGTTTGGGAACCACTGCACTTTGGTTCCCAAAGTTGGGCTTGGGACCAAATTATGGGTCATGAAGCACCTTGAATAATCTCCAGAAATCAATTTAAAGGGTAATGATGTAATATTTTCCCTATAATTATTACAAAAACACAAAATTAGTATAAATAAGTATTTATATTTGTGTATAAGCTGTTTAGATTGTCAAAAACCTGTGTTTTTAGGGTTATTAACTAAGTTTGTGTACTCAGACCAGTAATATTTGGGGTCACAAGTTTTTGCCATGGATATTTTGTGGGTCAGAAGATAAAAAGTTTGGGAACCACTGCCTTACACTGTCAAACTTGCGCTCCAACTCGCCTAGCGCAGTGACTCCCAACCAGGGGTACGTGAACCCCTAGTGGTACGTGAGCATATTACAGKGGGTACATGGAAAAATTTCCCAGTTCTGTAAAACAAAAAACAAAAAATAGGACAGGGATATGTCAGTCCCTATGATGCAGACTGAATCACAGAATTGACAAAACAAAATAGAATCCAGYACAAAAYGCSRAATCTCACGGAATTCACTCATTTGTGTGAGTTTCTGATGTATTTTGGACACTGTTGCTTCCTGTACCTGCAATAACCTGGTTAATTTATCTAATTACTTATTCACCTTTTAGGCAAAGATATTTATCTTTGTTTGAGTTGAGGGGGTTAAATAAATAGGAGAATCATCATTACGTTCGACTGAGGGGGGTACTAGTGGTGTGGAAAAATGGCTCAGTGGGTACACAAGTCTGAAAAGGTTGGAAACCACTGGCCTAGGCTAGGGCACCAAAATGGCTAGAGCCAGCACTGACTGCAATCAGCGTTAACAAAAAGTGCCACTCATAACAGCCTAAACGCCTAACATAAGCTAGAATTAATTGCACTTTTATCTCTTTTCTGTTCTGGCTGCATTCCAAATTGCTATTATAATAATTAATATTTAAAAAATGTGATGAGCTTGAGCCATAAAACGTGATGACATGGACTTTTTTCTCCTGGCTTAAAGGGGAGTGGGGGAATCCCTTTAATTGTGCACTTCTTTTAGTGTCTTTATGTAACAGGATCAGGCAGATGGTGTTGCATGACTCTGCTTCTCCACCACCATCATCATCATCATCATCTATGTCAGAATTGTCACATTGTTTATATGTGTAACAATGCAAAAGGTGAACACCACGAAAAGCGTATTTGGGCACTGCAACACACAGACAAGTGCTGAAAACAACAGCTGCACGTGGAGCAGAAGAGCACATTATTGTTTTGTATKGTAGCTGCAGACCCCTGGTACCATAAAGTAACGTTAACAAGCCTGGCAGACTTCTGCAAACACCGCGTGCGTGCGTGCGTGCGCGCGCGCGTGTGTGTGTGTGTTTGTGTAGCAGCAGCAGCATGGCAGACTGCAGTGCACACAGTGTGGAAGAGGCGGGGTTTGACATCTCCGCTCTGAAAACATCTCTCCAGTATTTCAGGTGCCGAAGTCGACCGAGAGAGAACCCAGTCTTCTTCACTTCAGCGGAGCCGCAGGCGACACGGAACCGCTTCAAATCAAACTCTGGGCTTTTTATTTTAACACACAAACACACACACGTCTTCTCTCTGTCTCTGTGTGTCCGAACTGGGAATAAAACACGGCTTCGCAAAMGAAGTTAAAAACAAGAAGAGAGAGTGAAGTTCCAGCGGAGTACTTTTCCAACAAAACGCGTTTTCTTCTTCTACGGTTTTAAAATAACCTCAACTCCCGACTTCACGTTAAAGGATATAAACCTTCTTTTTTGGATTGTTACTCTCTTAAAGGTAAGTGTCTCGTTTAATAACCGCAAAAAAAAGCAGCTGTTGTAACTTTCCGTAGCTGATGTTTAGCAACAGTGTCCGAGTTACGTGTGGCGGAAATGGCAGCTGTACCTGCGGCTCAGGTGAAACGCAGGTAAGGCCTAGCATAATTAGCTTAGCGTAACTATCAAGTTTCGAGAGTGAGGGGTTTGCTTTAAAAACATAAACAGTCGAAGAGTTGTTTTGGACTTTTTTTGTGAGATATTTTTTATGTGTCGCGTAAATGTGTCTAGTTTTCAATCTCCTGTTAGATTAGCTGTTGACAGGAAGCTAAAAACAAAGTTAGCTCGATAAAATCAAAGATTTAAACGACATTGCCTCGTTAGCCTATTTTCATTTGTAACGCGATTATTAACGCATTAAAACGCGTTTAAAGTTTTAACAGCTTTTATAATGTGTAACTTCATTATAAACAGAAGGCCTGTCATGTGTTGATTTATGTGTTGATAAGATCTACAGTGACTCACATATGAAGGAAGGAGCATATACAGAATATTTAGGGCAACAATGTTTTTATCTGTGTTTATATGTGTGTGTTGGTCTGCCTGTTAGCAAAATATTTCCAGAACCATTGCACGCGTCATACTGAAACACCCAGAAAGTAATATCTGGAAAGATACCTACAACTTTTTTTAAAATCTTATCTTATCTTACAACTGATTAACTTTTGGCGTCAGCCCAGTTAAAGATGGCCCCCGCAGCTAAGCAAGCTCAGAAAACACAAAAATGGCTACAACCCAGCTAATTTTAAAGATATTGGGCTCAAATTTGTAATGTTGGTAGCTGAGAGTCACCCCTTACACATATTTCAATCTCCAACTGATCGGGTGAGATCTGCTTTTAAAAACTATCAGTTAACTTTTAAAGTCAACACTGCCGGTCTGTTAGCAAAATATCTTGTGACCCACTCAGGTTATTTTAATTAAACTCGTGGAGAGTAAGCATTGTGTATACATCTGTAAGTCATTCACTTTTGGAGTCAACCCCATTCAAGGTAGCTGTCACAACAAATCAACTTTATAAAACACATAGATGGCTATAACCCAGTCAGTATTACGGATATTGAGCTGTAATTTGGTGTGGAAGTAGCCAAGAGTTCATCCTCAAAATATGTTCCAAAGAGCTGCTCGTTTTCGACTAAAACTTTTCCATTGCCTTTCTTTTTGTTAGCAAAATATCTCATGTTACGCATTCCTTCAAGGGATAGTCATCCTTCAGTTACACAAGTTTCTCCCACTTGATTCCACTGTAATTTGTAAAAGCTACGTCATGATGAAACAGTTGGACAAATACATCCTGTTCTCTCCACTTTTGTGCTGATGTTTTTGCAACATTTCCTTTTAAGACTAATACTGTGAACTGAAGCATACTCCAGTCTGAGGCATGCTGAAGAACCTGTTTTTTTAGCTCCAAGTCTCTCCCGTCACCTCCTTTTGTTTGCAGGCACATTGAGCAAGTGTACCAGGAATAAGAGCCGCGTTTCCTAAAGCTGGTTCGTACATCTAGTTCACGTATCCGGGTTTGGAAAAAAAATATTTTTTCATTTGCCCGCATAAATATACAGCACTGTGCAAATGTTGTAAATCTTTACTCGAATTTCTTGCACTTGCCTTGTTAGAGTCACACACGTCAATAAGGCTTTCTGAAAAAAATTAGTTCCCAAATTAGTTTGACTTTTGGACTATTTTTTTTTTTACTTGAAAAAAATGCAGCTTTAAATCAAAAAGAAAAAAATAGGTCTTCTGGACGGGTTCTTCTCTAATGAAACGTTTCGTCTCTCCTCCAAGAGACTTCTTCAGTCTGAGAGTTTCAGGCAAAATTTAAAAAAATAAACACACTTTTTTGTTTTGTTTTCTGTAGTCGACACTAAGGGGAAAAATATAAAAGATTGCACAATTTGACAGGCAAACAAGCGTTTTTAGCAGGTTTTATTGGAATTAAAGAAGAGTCGTGTTTCATCTCTGTGCTTGGTATTGCTTAGAAAGCTCTTGTGGAGTGAGGAAAAGGCGAGGAAGTGGCTCTGAGAGCAGAGAAGAGGATTACATTTTCTGTCAGTACTTTCCTCAGATCCTGGAGCCGTGCCTTTTTGTTTTCCCTTTTCCTCAGCTGGATGCAAGGAATAATGGGTGACTCAGCGTGGTGTGGATGACCTGTTCACTTTCACAAGGCTGATCACAGTGACCGTGTGTAGGGAGTGAGAGAGAGAGAGAGAGAGCCAAGCCTTTTTCACAGAAAGCCCACACAGGAAATGATCGCCGCTCTGTTCCTCAAGTACTTGATTCATTTTTAAGATTTAGTTTAATGGTTTTTAGTAGTCTTGAGTAAAATAGCTGCGAAAATGTGAAAAGCGTTGTGGTCAATCCAGGACAATATCATGCAAACTGGAGCAAAAGGGAGAAAAGTGTGGCTTAATTCTTCACGTGACATGACTCACACTTCTTAGAAGTTTACATGACTACATCTGAGATGACTAGCGTGTTGCAACTTAAGTGTTTGACTTAAACACGGCGAGTGTTAATGATCATTTTATAAAAACGATTATGAGTGTCGAGGTGAAAAACTGAGCCAGGCTGAATTTAAAATGCAGCCATGATAACTTCATTTTATTCCCACAAATGCCGTCTTTTAAGAAACTTGTTAGTTTCTCTTTAATCAGCTGCGATTTTCCTCACTAAAGACGTCAAACAGGTGGGACTTATTTTCTTGGTAGCTCTCGGCATCAATTCCATTTTATTCCGACCAGCCTATCCATCAAACTAATCGCCGGTAGATAAATCACAGCGCTTGACTTTCTGTGCTTTCACATCAAACCTGTCCACATTTCACAGATTCCTTCAGCCTCRTCAAACCTGACAATACTCTGAAAACTTGGAGCGCTTTTTACCAACTGAAGATTTTTCTTTGTTGCGAGAGGAAAACAAAGTCATTCCGGGACTTGGTGATTCTTAGAAAACCTTTTGTTGCAATGGAAGACTGTGTGAGAAAATGACTTTTTAAATATGATGATTTCACCTAACGAGGCCTACGCGACTCAGCAAATAATTGCTTCAGTTTTAAATGTGCTGATATTTTATTACTAAGTAAGTATTGTTGGGCAACTTTCTAAGTAGGTAAAAGTGTTTCACCTTGTCCTGGAGCAAATACTTTTAGGTTTAAGCCGGTAATTCATGACATCCTTTTAATGGCCTAGGTTTTCATGAATTAATTGCTCTTAAATTATTATTAGATTGTATCATTTGCGGCTGAAAAATAAAAAGTTAGGGTTCACGTTTTAGTTTTTATTAATATTCTTAGTGAGATAGAACATTTTAAGTCATTATATTCTGGTTTTTCAGGCAATTATAAAAGTTAGCCAAACATTTCGCCTMATTTTTGTTTGTTGTCTTTTCTCTTACAAATTTCAGTTTGAAAACTATACAATAAATGTTGTTACTTATTTTAAAGAAAACAAGGCTTAAAGTAAAATAAACAATGTTTAAGTTAAAGCTCTAAACTGTACTCCTTTAGTTAGTATTTGTGTAGTTACTGAGATTCAACTTAAATATCTGCCACTTCTTTCAGGGCGTAAATGTTTATGCAGTGTGTTTGATTTTGACCTCGGTTTCTAATTTATTTTGTTACATTTGGATGCGCTTTCGCTTATCTCACAATAAACAACCTGTGTTCCTGAATGGTCACAGATAAAGCACATATTTAAACCTACTTCTGTGCACTTGCAGCTTACCTGACAAAAGAAAAACACAGGATTTTGCACCATTAGGAAAGGTCAAATTAAACTTATGCACGTTGCTGTTAAGCCAGGCCTGCWGAAACAAATGCACAAACCTACCGGTAAGCAAGTTATGCTCATTGTTTTAATGGGAAAAAGCATTAATATGTGAGGATTAGTCAGATAAGAAGAAAAACCAGTCCCAACAAAATGGTGTTATTCATGCCTTAAACTGGAAACAAAGGGTGCTAACAGCTATCTTGGCTTTCAGTGGGCAGTGATGTAAACCTGGCGTCTAAACAATATTATCAAGAGCCAGCTGAGTCAATTTTTCCTCTTAGCTTCATAAAAAATGGACTCCGAAATTTTCTTTCTCTGTTTAGCTGAAAAAGGTGAGGATTTTTTTACACTTCTGGAGAAGCTTTTTAAGTTAAAGGGGCAATATGTAAAATCAACTTTTTAAAGTTTTATATCATGTTATAATGTTATACTCTTATAAAAAACATGCCCAAAGCCTTGCTTTGACTCATTCCTGCATGTTTGAGAAATCCTGCAGCATTTTTAGGAAGCCATGCTGAGGAGCAAAACGACAGGTGGGGACCAGAAATGCCTTTTGGTACCAGGAACGCCTCTGGGACGTGTCTTTTAAGCTGAGCTCCCTCATGGCAGAGCACCCCCACTCATGACTCCTGCAGGCTCTCGGGTGAAAGTGAAAGTGAAACTGTCTGCTGAGCTCCACTACTTCTTACTCAGTGAAGCTCTTTTCAGATTCAAAATACCTTTTGAGGAAATGTATTTTCAGACGCCAAGTAAAATGCACCCCCCCCCACTCCCCGTGAGCGCGAACCCCCCCCCCCAACACACCGAAATGGGCGAGACAGAAGCGGAAGGTGGTTCTTAAAGAGACAGGCCAATTTCAAGGTGTTTAGAAGAGGAAGTGACGAGAAGAGAAGTTTATTTTCTATTTAAACATAAAAACAGCATTTTAGTAACAACTAAAGGTGACATAGATACTTTATTATGATATAGTATTTAAATGTACGCCTGAGAAACACATAATATTGCCCCTTTAATAGAATACAGTGTAAATRTTGCAACCATTTGTGCATAATTATGATTATTTCCCAGTATTCTGCTTTTTTGCCAAACCTGGATCACACCTCAATTCCCCAAATCTTTTCTTTTTAAATTAAGCTCAGTCCTTTTTAAATGAATGAAAACAATGCTGACTGACTCGGCGTCCATGTGTGTCAGTTCTGCTGAGACAAAAGGATGTTATAATGTAACTCAGGTTAGCATTTTTTTAAATTTAATTTTAAATGTACCGCTGTAACGCAATAAAACCTCCAGCCATGAAAAGCCGGAGCCATATATACTCCTGCTGCTGTCAGCATTGTCACCACACAAAACGTGCTGGCATGGCTCTTTCTATCACCAGTGTGATGCTGATAAATGTAAGCGTGATGATATTTGGCGTTGTTTTCACTCGCAGGTAAAGTYGCACAGCTGATTTCACACCCAGGATTCATAACGCTGACTTAATTAAAAGAAGCAGTAAATTGAGAAGGGGGGTTTAACTGGGATAAGAGATGTTTTCCAGCTTCCTACTCGTAATTGCCTTTGCTGATAGTGGATGACTTTTGAAACACCGATACCAGCAGCTTGTGACTGGTGACATCATCATTGTTGTGCTGCGCAGGTGGTTTTGTACAGAAATTCTGCGAACGACTCAGCCCTGAAAGTAATCCGAAAACAGCAGCTCTTGAGCAACCCTGAGCYTAATCGAGCGCTGTGGAATGCTGCTCCTGCCGCGCTCCGTCGTGCGGGAAAGCAGCAGAACCTTTAGTGGATTTAGTTGAAACACTTGACAGCGCTGATTCGGCAGGATACATGCTAAACTTCAGGTTGTGTCGTTGGCTGCTGTGAACTTACACGGTGGCAGCGTCGTTTTAGGATTCCTGAAATTCCACGAAGGCAGTGCTGTTCAGCAGGTTTAGACTGAAACTTAGACTGAAAGTTTTATTGTTTCTGTTAAGTAGAGCAGCTTTTCTTTTTTTAACACTAACTGCACTACAAATTACTTGTCTTGCAGGATAATTAGTGCATGTTTTCATTATGCCGTTAATGGAGCTGCATTATTAGTTCCAAAATATTATTTAAAAGTATTAATTATGCAAATGACACTCATAACCGAATGGTAGGTTGTCACTCATGAAATATGTAGAAATTTGGCAGGTGGTGCTGCAGTTGGGTCTGTTAGCAAATTTTGCTGGACGATAAAATGTCTCATAATTTATGCGATTAAATGCGATTAAAAAAATATTGATTGGAGACCATTTTAAAGTAGTATAATGAATAATCACCCTGCTTACAAAGCTTGTAGAAGTTTATGAAATACTTTGGTGAAAAAAAAGTTACAAACTGACCTGGACCTGAGATTGTGAAAACAATACAAAACTGTAGCTGCAGTAGCTGTAACATTGCTACCCTCCTCTATCCAAGTCGGTGCAATTTATTCTGTATGTGTCTTCTTTTGGCTTCATAAAATAATTTTGTTCACCTGAATGCTGGTTACGAAGTTTACGAAATTCACGTTGTGTAAAAAAAAATCTCTAGGTGAACCCAAGGTTCAGCAAATTGCCCTGAGGTGTCAGAAAACCAACAACACTCCTCTAGATAAATGCCTGTTCATAGGGCTCTCCACCGTCAAATACCTTTGTGAGAGTTAACTCCTCCCTACACTAAGGAGTAGAAAAGGAGTAGACACAAAGAAAACAAACCTCATTTTAATTTCTCATGTAGCTCAGCGATTTCTTGCTCATCGCGACAGGCCTAGGAATGTCCTCGACAACTGAATGGTAGGTTTTTGTCGCTCATGAACTCTGTAGAGATTTGACAGGTGATGCTGCAGTGTCTGTTTGTTTAGTTTATTTTGTTCGTTCCTGTCATTACTGTTCTTCAGTAATATGAGATTAACTTTGTTTACATGTTCAAACGCAGCCTGAAATTAGAGCCACATTTAGGTCAACACACCTCCAGTGCAAAGGCTGTCTGTAGGAGTTAATGTTTAAATGTTTGTGTGTGTAAAAGTTCAGGTTGACCTCAATGTGGAAGCGCAGCGTTCGAGGCGGAAGTTTGCTTTAATTTTAGAATCTGTTGAACATTGTATGAATACAAGTCAGGATGGAAAAGGAGAAAACTGAAGTAGATACGAAGCTGTATGTGATACCGAGCTCCGTCTTGGTTTTAAATATCTTTAGGTCTAACACTTTTTCTCTTTCTAACACAGCCCGGCCGTGTTTGTGGTCTTACCTGGATAAAGTTGCATCGTGGGTGAACTTCTGCGAGGAACGAGTTTCTGCAGCTGAATGTCAGCAAGAGCATTGGCACCATGTTGACCTTACTGACGGCAGTCTACAACCCCCTCCGAAAGCAGCTGTGAAGCTTTCACCAGCGATTTTACAAGATGACAGAGACATTCTTCTGCATACTGAAAGTGCAATTTCATAAAAGAAAAAGACAACTTCAAATCCAAGGATTGCCTAAACAAAAGCCTGAACTCTGATTTTTATTTTTGAAGTACGTTTATTTTAACCTTTTTTTAAAATTATTAATATTCAAAAGATTTTTTACCCAATAGAGGAAGTAAAAAGAGCTTCTCGATAAGCTGCAGACTCGGACTAGAAGCCTATGTGTTGCAGGGCGGCTGCTGCAGCTTGTGGAATAACTTAGCCTCAGACTTTTGGGGGCCGAGGGATTTGCCTGTTCCAGCGACCCCTTATTTTTTTTATCGGTTCATCTCGCCTCATTTAAGGCACGCTCTGATAAGCGATGGCATGGTACAAGTTCTTCAGGAAGCCGGGGGGCAACCTGGGCATGTCGTACCAGCCGGGGAGCATGATGTCTCTGGCCCCGACCAAAGGACTGCTGAATGAACCCGGCCAGAACAGCTGCTTCCTCAACAGCGCTGTACAGGTAGGTCTTTGTTGCACRTTTTCTTTGTTGACACGATCAAATCGTGCTAAACTTGAGTGATATTTTATTTGTCATACTCCCTAAAGCTGTTCAAAACGTAGCATTTGTTGGAACTACTGTGGATTTAAGTATTCAAAAGATTATGAAAGGTTTCTAATACACCCATTACCAAAAACGAATGAGCTAAAATATCAAAAACTAGGATAAATTGAAATGAATTTATTTTAAAGTTCAGGGAGGAAGCATTTGACTGCAATTTAGATTCACCGAGAGATTAGGGCAGGGGTGTCCAATCATGGTCCTTGATGGCCACTAAAATATACAAATACACACGAGACTTTGCGCACGTCTGAGTCAGTGATGCAGAATGTAAACCATATTTTCCTCTGKTTTTTTTCCTTCAAGTTTGGCGTTTCATAAAAGTGGTGGATGTGGAGGAGCGACTGCAGAAATAGCTCTTGATGCGGTCTGGTGTTATTTAAATAAAAACGACTACGGGGGTGCTTGGATAATGTTGGGGGAAACACTGCAGTGAAACCACATACCTGTTCATTGATTTGATTTGTTGGAAAAGCAGTTGTTTCAGGGGATTTTCTAAAAGTATTACATTTATAAATCATTATTTATATTTTTCCTATGCTCTTAATTTAAAGGTCTCAAAAAGTAAACAAATGGTCTTAAAAATGATGACTAGTGTAAGCAACATTTTAGATTGTGTTACTGATCACAAGACAATCAGGGTATTTACGTCCTTGCAGCCCTACTTTTTGTTACTTTGTTGCTTTAAATCCTGTATCTTCCTAATTCAATAAAGCTTCAATGTCATAAATGTTTGAAGTTTGCAGTCAGTTGCACTTATCTATTATGTGTTTACTGACCAGAAATAACAAAATAATTTGAGTGACTGATCTTCTAGTCCCCAGTAAAGTTGGCCAAGCTGAAAATCGGCCAATTCCAGTCACCTGAAAAGCAATTGCTGCATTCATGATAATAAAAAAAAAACCTGTTGACTCTTCAGATCCCATCAGCCTTTAACTTGACTAAACATCAGTCTAGTTCTTTAAAAAACAAAATACTTTCTTGTAAATCAAGAAAACGGTTTCATTCAGTTAAAAAATGTTTGTTTGCTGTAATAATGACRAGAGCCAAAAACAAGGTCTGTAAAACCAACACTTCTAAAGCAAACTTATTATTTTACAAGGTTTAAACAGATTCTTAACAAATGATGAACTTCTGCAGTGCTGCTACAACTAAAAAAATATTTAACAGAATTCATAAAACTGTCATTAGAAGGAAACGATTTTCTGCGTTCCTACTGCACGAGAAGTTATTAAAAATATTACATGGATTGAACTTGTATAGGGTTACAGGACGACTCCCCTAACCACTCTGCCACAGCCGCCCCAAAAATGCATCACAAGAACTGACACAGTCCCTAAATAATATTGATGTATATTTAATATAAAAGTGTGCTATTCAAGCAGAAGAAAATGTCTCCAGCTGCTGTGTCGGCCAGTGAAAATGAACATTTTAGTGTTTGAGAGAGGGGAATGAGTTCAGTTAAATACCAGGCAACCGCAACCCCAAACATCACACCACATCTGTAAACAAATGAGCTGAAGGATGCAGAAGAAAGGTCAGGATATTACTTTTGCAAACCACAAATATCTATGTGAATCTGTGCAAAAAGGCTTTCAAAATACTCTCTGGATTGACCTCAGAATGTAAACAACCCAAGGATCTGACAGAACTAAAAGCTGTTAAGGCAAATGGTAAAAGAAACTAAATAAAGATCCATTACCGTTTGTAAAAGAAAACCATTTGCTCAGGAATGTTTTACCAGGTTGAGATTCTTGCAAAAGAACGTGTTTCAATTCTAAGTACTAGTCATTCAGGATGTGCAAAACATTGCTTCAAGCTTTTTTTCTTTCTTTTTTTTAAGTTGCTCAAATGAACTACTGTTCTCTGTCTAGTCCATTTATTTAATTGTTCCTAATCTCCACAAGAGACAGAACATGTTCCACCCCCAGAGACCATCATTTGTTTATAAAATTCAGAGCTGTGCCACTGTCTAAATCCGTCTGAGTTTTCCGGCAGTTTAGGGATGTACTGAAAGGTTGCTTTTGACCAGTGCAGTACTGGCTGCTGAGATGATTCACTGAAGTAGTCACAGTTAGGTCAGTCTCAAAGAGGACTGTGACTCAGAGGGTGAGACGTCTGATGAGCTGGTTCCAGATGATCATTGCCTTTGGATGTTTTATCGTGGGAGGGGGAAAAAGACATCAATTTCATGACCTTGGAGATTGAATGCCATGTGTGGCTAAAGACTAAATGTTGACTTACATAAGAGTTTTCCTTTACAATTATATCCGTTTGTTTCTGATCATTCATTCAGATTTTCTTCTCTACAGATTGCCATGTTTATCAGATCATTAACCCAGTAGGAAAAGCTTTGTTGGTAAGACTAGGGATACATTTTTAACCTTTTTGTTTTTCCTTTTCTGTAGGTACTTTGGCATCTGGACATCTTCAGACGCAGCTTGAGACACCTACCAGGGCATTTTTGCCTCGGTGATTCCTGCATCTTCTGTGCATTAAAGGTACGCATTATCAGTAGCACGTTTTACGAGAACTAGAAAAATGACATTTTCTGCCGAAATGCAAAGTGCCAGCCAGAACTTAAAGGAGCAAAAGGCTAGCTAAAAGCCAAAAGTAGTAAAAAAATAGCTAGAAACTGAAAGAAACAAGGCTAGCTAGACATAATAAACAGTAGCCAAGTTTTACTGAAGGCAAGCTAAATGCTGATAGTGGTTGTGTCCAAATTCAGGGGCTGCGTCCTTCGAAGGTCCTGGCCTACCCAGTCTACGTGGACCAGGTCTGCTAGCTGAAAGTAGCAAAAGGCTAGCTAACATCTAAAAGTAGCAGAGCAGTAGCTAAAAACTAAAACTGGCAAAAGAAGAAAAAAAATAGAGTAAATGCGCTGAAGCAAATGAAAGAGAATAACATTTTTCTTTTATTTAAGCAATTTGAGARTGTGTGTCAGTGTTATTTATAAGAAAGGTGTTTGTAGTTACATAAGAGCTAAACAACGCACATGTCTAGCTAAAAGTAGTAAAAAGCTAGCTCGTCAGCTCACATGTCCAGCCAGCACACTGCRAACGTTAAAATGGGCACTTTTTTTCTGTTTTTCGTCAGGGCCTTTTCTCCCAGTTCCAGCAGAGTCGAGAGCGCGCCCTGCCTTCCGACAACCTGCGCCGCGTCTTGGCAGAGACCTTTAAGGATGAGCAGCGCTTCCAGCTGGGCTTCATGGACGATGCCGCCGAGTGCTTTGTAAGTTCCCGTGGCAACTTGAGAGGGATCTGTGTGTGTACACTTGTGTGCGAATCTGCAAAGCATTTAGGGCAATATGTTGCAGCAAACTGTTTGGCAAGGTCACTGAAAGAACTTCTGTCCCCCCCTCCCATCAACTCCTTCCTCTGCGGCCCTAAATATCATCATGACAGGGTTATATAAGCTGCTGCCTTTTGTGTTACCACATTATTTTGTTTTGGAATAAAAACGTTTTCTTTAGTCTGTTTGGGTCGATTAATTTCAGGGCTACATAAACCCTGATATAATTGTTTATAAGTGTTTTTATCTTTTGCCTGCTGCCAAAACAAAAGTGTTTGTGTGTTTGCATGTGTTTTTTAAAGTGCCCGTGACGTGCATATCCTTCAAATAAAAAATGTCAAAGAAAAAAGCTTTATATTTATGAAACTTGACATAAAACACACAAATTTATTCATTTTGAATAAAAAGAAATCTAATTCTCTGGACTTTGCTTACAAAAGCAATGTTGTTTGAACTCTGACATTTCTTCATTTATCTCTGATACTGACTSAAAATAATCTAAAGGAACATCAGATTCTTCTCTACAGTCTATCCATTGTTGTAATGCTCTGTTTACATTCAGACATTCCCCTTTGACATCACTTCCTGTTACTTCACATGTGAATATCTCAACACCTGTTCATCTCAGTGGCATGAAATGTTTTTTGTAATAAGTTATCAGTGTTCTCTTTCCAAAAATGAATTCATATTTATTACAAAAATTTGACATCACAGGCACTTTAAGTCTGTCTATTAGCAAAATATCTCATAAACCACTCAGTTGAAACTCTTCAAAAGTAATGATTGGATGCACCTCTACAACGGATTAACATCTGGAGTAATGACTCTTAGCAACACATAAATATCTTTTTATATTTCTCACATTGTTGATCATTAATACATGTCAATGTCTACTAACGTGTTGTGAAAACAAACAAAAAGCTTTGAGTTCTTCTGAGAGTGAGTTCTGAAGTCTGACATCTCGCAGTAAACAACAACACAACATTTATTGTTAAATCTCTGCTGAGCATGACGTCATAGACTTGATTCTGATTCAGGCAGTGGGGGAAAAAAACACAATTAGTTGGACAAGGGATGGAAAAACATGTTGCCCAGGTGACTGGTGGGTGCGCCCCACACAGAAGCCTCTAGGAGAGAGATGGATGGATGGGTGGGAAGTGGCCAAAATCTGACACTGCTTTGCCAAGATARTCTCGTTTTATTGTTTTCTCTGCACTCCATCAGGGGCCATGACACTACTTGCTTTCGTCTAATTGCTGCTTTTCATCTGGACCCTCATTCTGGGTCCTTTTTTAATCTTTCTGGAAACAATGAAATGGCAGGTTTGGTTTGTCCCTTTGACGATTTGTACAGCCCATCGCTGATTACGAGACAACTACACTGTTGATTGTAGTGGAAAATCTTCCACTTTTAGCAGAAATCRTACAAAATCCCAATTAAACTGACACAGAAAGCTTGTTGTGCAACATGAGGAATGAACATGGATGAAATGATTCTCTGCTTTTTCCCCCCCTCATCACAAATCGAATCAATTAAAATGAAAACTGTCGCTGAATCAGCGTTCTCTGTTAACCACATTGAGTTTGACATTAAGCAGTTAGTTCAGCTAAAGACTAAAAGACCCAGCTTGTATAAATGCTGCATCCTGTTTTTGATTTATTTCATGAGCAGATATGAGGATTTATATTTCAGCTTTTTACACACTTTTTCCTCATTAATGCCATTTTCTTACTTTACAAAAGTAAAGAGATTAAAAGTAAATCCAACAGACAGTGATAGGTTTATACCTAAAACCTCCAGAGTTATAAAAACTTGGGCAGTATTTAAGTTAACCAATGCAGTCAGAACCTTTAGTAACTTTATTTTTTAGTTAATAAAGTTCAGGAATATGATGCAAAACTAAACTGGTTCAACCTTCTTTGGAAGTAGTGATTTATTATTAACATATAGACCTTTCTGAGTACATAACCTGATCAAGATTCATTATATTTGTCTTTTTTTTACTCCCACAAGATCCTTTTGGCTATTGTTCCTTAACTGAGTTGAAATTTTAGAACAAAAGTAGCACAGAGCTGTGTGACTGCTACACAATCCCCTGGTGTTTCTGCTTGCAGTCCATTGTTTTATAGATAAATATATTTTAGGCTTTTGGAAGCAGGTCCCAGGACCAAAGAAAACTGTCTCCTTGTCCATCCCATCAAGGAATTAGTAGTTAGTTTCATATTATTTAATGTTATTGAGCAGCAGGGCACAGCGTTTACAGACTAAACCAGGGTCAGATTAACACGCTGTGAAGTTCAGCTGGTAACAGTTGTTATTCTACCTTTTCAGCTTTAATTTTTTATATGCTCACAGGAGTTCACAGCCAGTACAACTTCTTTATATTTCACCATGCTGCTGTTTACAAAAAAGCAAAACACAAAAAAGGAATTCCATTGAGCTGGAAAGTTTTAGTTCCGTAACTTAATTTTTATTTCTTCTTTTCTTTGACAGGAAAATATTCTGGAGAGGATCCATTTGCACATTGTGCCTGAGGAAACGGATTCCTGTACTTCCCAGTCTTGTATCACGCATCAAAAGTTTGCTATGGCCCTTTACGAACAGGTCAGTTGAAAGATTCAAAAAATGTTTGTCGTAATTTAAATTTTTTAGGACATTAAGTGTCTGTTCGGCTTTATTGTCTCAGGAGGAGATGTTTTTGTGGATTGTGTGTGTTTGTATGGCTTCCATAGAGAGGTCTAGACAGTTTGCTCTTCTATTCTCATGGGGACTTTGCATTGATTCATTTACCAGTCATTTCTATAACCTAACTCTGACCCCTTGCCCTAATCCTAACCTAACTCAATTCACTTCTTAGTCCTAAACCTAAACCCACACCCAAAGCCAGCCTTTAAACTCGTGGGGTCCGGGCTTTGGTGGGTCTTCACAAGGGTGTGTGTACTGGGAAAATGGGAAAACAAAAACGTGTATACCCACACACGCAGTGATTTTTCTATTATCTGGGAGACTTTGCATTGACTTCCATTCATTTTCCAGTCATTTCTATGGCCTATCCCTGACCTTTTACCCTAAACATAACCACTCTAGTGCATAAACCTAGCCTAAAGTCCAGTCACACGTTAGTCTTACACCTAAACCCCCACCCAAGTCTGGACTCTGTACCCATTTGGAGTAGACTTTGGTCTTTTAAGGTGGTCTTTATCTACAGGTTTTTAGTCTTTTTAAAGGTGTTTAAAAAATATTTTTGGATTTTAGTAGCCTGGTATCCATTACCTGTTTCATCCTAGTCAAATAATACAACAGAACACCCACTCCTAATATCAAAGTGGTTAAACATGTCATTTAGAACTGGCTCTGTACATTTTTTGTTTCTTCTTGACACAACACTTCTTCACCTTTTAAGTTCAGGAGCCCATTTTTACCTCATGGATCAGGGTTGGATTTGGATAACAAAGATTTGGTTCAGGTACTGGATTAAAATGAGTGGAAAAAGAAGCCAGTGTTTGAAAACAAACTTTAAAAGACCTACAAAMTGCCTGAAGCACTACTGTTCAAAACCACTTTAAAATAATACAAAACATCCGTCTCCTTGAAGGTGAAATATAAAACAAATAAGGGATGCCTCAAAACGTTTGCACAGTTATGTATATCGGAAATGGTGTGCACATTATTTTCAGCTTTGTATAACTCTTCCTGCCCAGTGGCACTGCTGCCTGTCGTTGACTCTGTTTGATCCAAACAAAAATTGTGATGGAACTAATACTTTTAGGTTTAATCCAGTAAGTCTTGACATACTTTAATGACCTAAGTTTTCATGACRTGCTRTTCATCWGCAGMTAGAATGATTAAAGTCAGAACAAGAGCTGCTAACAACAATAACCATTCTTAGATATCACTTGTGTTTATCTTTGTTTTCTCTTGACCCAGCATTTCCTTAGGATGAAATCTTGCTTTATGAAGATGACATAATAGTGTTTGTTAAACAGTATATATGAGGCCTCAACTGCCTCAGAGAAGCAGAAACAGGAGCAGAGAGCATGGGGACAGTCTGATGGCTCGATGTTGTTCTCTATGTTCCTGTTGTTGCAAATAAAACTCAGCTGATCATTCCACGGAGTGCCTTATACTTGGACCACGTATTTCTGGCTTTGTTAAATAAATATCTCCATAACAGTGTACACTAGGGCTGGGCGACATGGCAAAAAAAATGATCACGATTAATTTTTTCATAACGTCCGATCTCAGTTAACATCACAGTTTTTTTGTTAACTGTTAAAAAGTAACTAAGAAATAATTTAACAAATAAATATAGCTACAGAAAAAAAATGGCTGTTATTTCACTTTTACTAATATAACAAATAGCTGTGGTTCAGCAAAACATGAAATTATTTTTGCAAAGTTTTTAAAAGGGTATTTACCAAGAAAAAAAAACATTTATGTGCAAATCATAGAATCTCCCATTAATGAAGTTACCCTTTTGTAAAATTAAAGTTTTGGAAATGAATTTCACATTAAATATGCCATAAATAAACATAAACCTACAAACAGCAACAATTTGTGCACACTTGCCAACTGAATAGGATCTAAGCCCATTACTTTTGTTATGGAAGGAACCCCCATGACCCCCTCCTGTTTACTGAGCTTTATCAAACAACAGACAACGCTGTTTCATTTGTTCTGAAAGAATATCTGATTCTGCACACGACAACATGTTGCATAATAACTCCCAGCTCCTTCAGGACTTTGCAGCGTCTCTCAGCTGCTGTCTGTGATGCGACTCACAGGAAGCGGTCTTCACGTCTCGTCCAGCTCATTAAGTGCCGATAAAACTTACAGAAAAGTTCTTCTCCAGAAAAATGAAGAACCGCAGGGACATTGTTCCATCCTAAACATTACCCTGAGACCGCTTCATATTTTTGAAGGACACTTTTGTTTTAGCRAGACGCGCATTACGACTCTCTTTTCTTGTCTCTCTCTCCCTCCCGTTCAGAGCTCACCCTGCAGGCCTGTTAGCAGGTAACAGCAGGTACAGGGAGCGACAGCGGCCAAAATACCTCAGAAACTCGCCCAAATAAACGAACTCGGTGAGCTTCAGCATTTTATACTGGATTACTTTAGTTAATTCTGCGATTCCATCTGCGTTTCGTTAGCAACTTATGAACGGAAGTGGAGCAGGAGACGGTGGATTCTGATTGGCTGTTGTCGCGCACATTTCCGTCATGTTTGATCGAGTAAGAGACTCACAGCTGATCACCGTGATCGACCTGAATTTTTTCTCGATCAAAAATCGCGATCAAATAATGGCCCAGCCCTAGTGTACACATTACTTTCAGCTTTGTATAACTCTTCCTGCCTGGTGGCACTGCTGCCTGTCGTTGACTCTGTTTGATCCAAACCAGCATCATCTTTGAATCTAACAGATACGATCTCTTTGGGGGAAAGTTAGTGGGTTTTGATCTACTTTGCTTTCAGGCCACCCAGTTTGAAAAATATTTTCAAAATCTGAATGAAGATGCATAACTTCAGAAATAAAAATGGATGCCCTTATGCTTGGGTTTTTTATTATGTGGAAATGAGTCACTGGCAAGAGTTTCAAAGTACTTTATTTCCTTTAATTTATGGCCTTTTTGTTCTTTGTTCACCCACCATCTTCTCTGTAGTCTGTGTGCCGTAGCTGTGGCGCTTCCTCCGACCCACTGCCATTCACAGAACTGGTACATTACATCTCCACCACTGCACTTTGGTAAGAGACGAAACATTTCATCTCTCCCTTCACAGTGAATGTTTCTTTATGCTCTCACAAGGTCGTAGCTCAGCTTTAGTTACAAATCTGTATTTGCCTTTTTGTACCTCAATTTTCTTTTCTTTTGTTTTAGTCAACAGGCACATCAGCGGCGCGATGAGCCTTTCGGGGAAGTGTTACAAGTAGCAAGTACAATCGGAGACCTTCGAAATTGCCCCGTAAGTGGATTTTTCGTTCACAAACTGTCTAATCCACGTTGCATTCAGATAAAGTAGGTTTTCTTTGGAAAGTGTTACGTTATTGTCTCATTTTTATGTTTCTTTCTTTATCTTTCAGAGCAACTGCGGACAGAAGATCAGGATCAGACGGGTCCTCATGAACTGCCCGGAAATYGTGACCATCGGCTTTGTGTGGGACTCCGATCAGTCGGATCACAACGAGGACGTTATCCGCTCTCTGGGGCCTCATCTCAGTCTGTCCGCGGTGAGCCGTCATCATTTACATTTAATTTAGTCTTCGGCTAAATTAAAAATGGCTTTAAGAAGGGGAGGCCAGGACAACATCAGACTTGATTAAAATCATCAGTGTATTAGTGGATCCCCCCCACCCCGCTCTGCATTTACACAACTGTTCCATAAAGCTACTGTCTCTCTTCCGGCTGTCTTAGTGTCAGTTTGTTTTGGTCGCAATTGGACATATGTGGGAAATAAAGAGGGGATTTATTTCTCTGTTAAGTCTGTGCTGTTGCGTAAGCAGTTAACGCCCAATGCCCGGTCGGCCCATGCCAGTGATCAAAAAGCTCCGGTTGACCTCAGTCAACTTGTCGGAAGGCCCCTCCCGTTCTCTCCGTGTGTGTGTGTGTGTGTGTGTGTGTGTGTGTGTGTGCCTGCATGCCTGCCTGCCTGCCTGCCTCTGAAGCGAACATGTGTTCTGAGTTTATTCAAAGGAAGAATAGTGTTTGTCTCTTGAAATGACCCCTTTCTCCAGAATTACAATGAAACAAATGCTATAATTTGCCACGACTTATATTTATTCCTCAGCAGCCTGTTTGTATTCGTTTGCCGTGCAGATGCAGTTTACAAGAAAAAAAAAATCCATCATTGTAGTTCACGTCAGGACACAGTCAACACATTACATAACATTTTAAACCATGTATTTGACAGCTCCCTCTAGAGCGCTTCCAAAGCACGCCATCAGAAGAATTTGTCAGACCCTCCCTCGCATCGGTCCGACAGAAAAGCTTTTATTCTTTAAGGAGTACTTCATGTGACTTTATTGGATGTTAAAAGTAGCCTTCCACCCCCTGTTGATTTGCTTTGAATTCTGTTAGAGAGCTTTATTTTTCAGGAAACATGACAAAGAGAACCCAACACTGTCTTTGTGCTACTTGTGAAACAAAAGACATGTGTGTTCATAAAAAAAGTGGGGAACAGTTTGTTTTACACCAATGATAGCGTCTACYATATGACTATAATCAAGTAGAGCTTCTTATTAAAAGGGTTGGTTATCTGTGTCAGAACTTCCCTTTTCAGTTACTTTAGTCTTACGGGAAATTATTGCTCCTTGAATATGTTTTATGCCTCCATTTGTGGAAACAGCTGTTCTACCGGGTCACAGACGAGCGCGCCAAAAAGGCAGAGCTGCTCCTTGTGGGGATGATCTGCTACACCAGCCAACACTACTGTGCCTTCGCCTACCACACCAAATCCTCCAAATGGGTCTTCTTTGATGACGCAACCGTGAAAGAGGTGAGGTTGTCAGTTTTTCCAGGTTTTGAATGTAGATTTATAGGAAAAACATTATGTCACCATTTTAGAACCAAAACAGTAAAGTTCAGTCTGTGGCTGCAGTGAGCCTTTTTCAATTCATAAAAAAAACATTAAAGCTAAATTGGTTTTAAAAAAATAAAAAAAAATTACCAATGTGTTTGAACAGCAAGATGTCTTCTGCCTCTTTTGATTTGAAGCTGCTTTTTATTTGTGTTTCTGTCTACATCAGGGGTGTCTAAATCCTTTACACAAGGGGGACAAAATTTAAAACTTGGTCCAAGCCAAGGGGCAATTTCTTTCTTTGACATGTGGGGTCTACATTGTTGTGCCACATGTTGTGGATAAATGAACTTGGAACAACTGGCCCGACCCGGCACTGAATGAGAGATCTGGCAGTGCTTTCCCACCTCAACTGTTAGCACACTTGACCGTTCCAAGCATTAAAACTCAGAGTAAATTATCTTGACAAACAAACAAACAAACAAAAAAAGTCAAGTCTTCCCTTTAAAAACAGGGTTTGTACTGGTGCTTGAAATCCTTATAAATGCTCGAATTTGAAGTTCAAATTCAGTTTATTTAAATAGCGCCAAGTCACAACATACGTTGTCTCAGGGCACTGTACATAAAAAGAACAATCTAAAGAAGAAACCAGCAGGCTGCGTTGAATCACTTCATCACAGTCTCCCATCCAGAGCAAACGGTGGAGAGGAAAAACTCCCTGCTAGTCAGGAAGAAACCTCCAGCAGAACCAGGCTCAGGACAGGCTGGTTGAGGGACAGGAAAGAGACACAGACAAACACAGAAGAACCGGTCCGGGACTGGTCCAGGTGCATCTTCTTCTGGAAGAGACAAAGAAAAACCATGATAGAAATAATAACAATAAACATGTAGAGAAGAGAGACTAAAGACAACAGCAGAGTGAAGAAATGTGCTCAGTTTGTGCTCCAGCAGTCTACAGTAAGTCTATAGCAGCAGAAATGAAGAATAATTCAGGAAGCCTAAGTCTAACTATATGATTTATCAAAAAGGAAAGTCTTCAGTCTAATCTTAAAAGTAGACAGAGTGTCAGCTTCACGGACAAAATAAGTTTTTTCAGGGTTTGGAAAGTGCTTGATTTTTTTATTGAAAGTGCTTGATATTCTAAATGCACAGTTTGATAACAGAAAGCACTCTGACAGTTTGATTAAAAACCTCAATTGGATATGTTACGCTAAATTCACAAAATACCAGTTGATCATTAAGCATTTAATAAAGGCTCAGAAAAGTTTTGAAGCTAAATGRAAAGAGGCTCACAGAGATACAGACTGCTTCATAGTTTGATGCTTGAAAAGTTTGCAAATTTCCCTTGAAAGTGCTTGAAAAGTACTTGAAGTTTACAGTGGGGAAAGTGTAAAAACCTTGTAAAAAGAAAAGCAAAAACAAAACCTTTTGGCAAAGTAGCCAATGTTAACTTTTTTTTTTTCTGAATCGTATTACTTTCTGAAAAAGAGCACATCTTCTGCACATTAATGGAAGATACCGATGTCTGCGTGATTCTCTTGGACAAATTCTCACCAAAATAGATTTTATGGATCTTTTGGTTTTGGAGGTGCTACCGCTAAGCATGGGCGTAACCGCCATAGGCACCGGGTGGGACATGTCCCCCCCACTTCCAATATCTGTGCGCTCTGTTCCCCCCACTTTTTTCAGCCGGAGCAGAAAAAAAAAGACCTTTAAAAAAATGTGTCCCCCCCCACTTTTAAGATGGTGATTACGCCCTTGTCACTAAGACTGCTCATTGCAATGTTTAAGTATTTTTATGCCATCTACCTGTGAGAAAATGGCAAAAAAGAACTCGAATAAAACTAAATTCTACAATCTCACTCAGTTGTTCTGACCCATTTCCATTGTGTTCGATACATTCCTATGATTCATATACGCTAAGAGGCTCTTTGTCTCACAATTGTCCTGGGGACTGCGGTGAAGCGGCTGGCTGGCTCCGCGTCAATCCATCACCAACTTGTGCTGCGTGTGCAAACCCTCCCGAGTGAGATGGTGGAGCTACAGCACTCGACTCGTGCCAAGTCCCAGTCCTGGATCGAAACGGGCCAACATTTCTGCAAATCGCCAAACCACTGACTGCTCAGTGACTCAGTCATTTTTTATTTAGGGCATGAAAAAAACAAAACAAATTGGTGACCACTGTACCTTTTTGTCATATTATTGTCTGACAAAACAATCAGATTATGCTAAAAAGTCATTAAGAACTGATGCTTCAGTAATAACTTATTTGGATAAATAAATCAGGGAGTTTCTTTTTAAACTGCCAACAGATTTATCAAAATTAAAATACTTTTCAAAACTTTTTGGAAATGTGAAAATCCAAACTATAAAGGAGAATAGGAAACCTTTAAACTTCAATACAAACCAAACAAACATTTTTTTGTAACTTTAAGTGGACACATTAAGTTATAATTTACTTAATTAAAATCATCTTGCTGCGTTGGCTCTTTGCCTGCCTTCATCTCATTTGCATCTGTTCCTCTTTAGCTCTTTTCCCACCTCCATCCTTGCTACTTGCTCATTCCTCCTCTTCCTCTGTCATTTGCTTAATTAAGGAGCACAACGAGCATCTGTTCACCTGCAGTCTGCCTCTCTGGAGTCTTTATGGCAAAACAAGCGCCTCACGTTGTGCGGCTAATGGGATTGTTTTGTTAAATCATAGCCGGTTTAAAACATGTTGATAGTGTAGGGGTCGCCTCGAGTGAAATAATCAAGGAAACTGGCTTGGACCTCAGACCTCTGATGGACCTTTTGTTCCACTTAGAACTGAATTTAGGCCACCTCAGGTCACCTTAACTTGTCAAAGAGACATTCTCTTTTTCTTAATCAGATAATAGACAGAAGAATCTTCTTTTTATTTGATTCGTTGTTCTCTTTACTGAAAGTTATTACGCATTTTGATAATCAGAGAATGTTTATCAAAGTTACAGGAGAAAAGAGGACAGATCTCTTTTCTCCCGCAGTATGATTTCAGCTATGTATGGATTTTTTGTGCAAAGATCTTAGTTAACTAAACTAATCTTTATGGACTAATAAGCACATTAACACAACTTTAGATTGTGCATTCTCATGTTGCACTGTTTATATTGTAGGCTTATTAAAAATGTGTCACAGAAGCTCGAGCTCAGCCCAACTCAAGCTCCAACTAGAAGTCTAAACTCTACTATCCTTTCCTTTTTGTTGTTTTTATCGCTATAGATTGGTTCCAGGTGGAAAGATGTGGTCACCAAGTGTATTAAAGGTCACTTCCAGCCTCTCCTCCTTTTTTACTCCAACCCTGAAGGGAGTGCCATCGTCACAGAAGATGCCTCAAAGCCAACCAGCAGCCAGCCTCAACCCAAGACCTCCGTCAATGGAGATGTGCAAGGTATGACGCAACGCTTTCCTGTTTCTGTTTCATCTTTATGTTAGATTGAGAATCACGATAGAATAACACGTACGTTTTGTTGACAACAGTAAAGAATAATGAAAAATAAAACTAACAGTGTCYTTTTTTCTATTTGACTTCTACCTTCTGGTTGCATTTGGCAAAGATGTCTACTTGATTGCAGACTTTTAAACTTGAAATTTTCTTTTATGCTACGTTTATGTTTTCATTATGTTAGCACAATTATGTTTCCATTTAAGCAGGTCCTAATCATAATGTTTTAAAAACCATATTGGTACATTTTCTGTTGTTCCGGGCAGTTGTGATAATTTGTTGACAGCAGCTAAACATATCAGCTGGTGGGATTATGCGTTGCTGGATTTGCGTGGTCGGGGAGGTTTTTATCCCCTGCAGAAATCCTCCTCCAGCTCTCGATGCTGGCTGAGCCCCAGCTCCAAACGGTGGCAGCTGCTCAGTGTCCATCAGAGCTGACGGGACGGTTGGCAAAACTAGACGGTTCTCCAAAAACCCAAGAAAAGATGTGTGGCGAGCGTAGAATTTGTATCCTGTAAAAAAAAACAACCAAAAAAACAATTCAAGTTGGAGTTTGCTTGTTTAGTTTTTTTCGTTGTGAAGAAAAAAAACAAACTGAAATTTATTTATTTATTTTATTTTTTTCTTTTCCGCAGTCTCGGAGCCTCACGTTTCTTTACAAAAAAAGCTGGAATTAACCAAAGAGAATTTGAAGGCTGTGCTGGGCCACGATCCTCACAAACAGAAAACGTTGTCTTCGTCTT